AAACTCACAAATCAATCCCAATCGAGTCGAATTTCCCCTCCCTCTCATCATATCCTGTCCTCTGTCCTCCTCATCATAATCGTCATCGCCACCGCTATTATTACCCATCCGCACCACTCCTTTCCCTTTCCCCTTCTCATCCCCTGTCCCTTGCTCGGTCGCGCTACGCCAACACCCACAGCGACGGCGGAAGCAACACTAGACCCCCTCCGCCCCTGGGCGCATCTTCGCTCCCGCCGCTCCCGCCTCTCATTCTCCGCGCTCATACTTGATGCGAGAGACGTTGCGGATGATGCTGGAAGGGATAGCGATGGGATATACGCTGGTGCCGCGCGGGAGGAGGGTGAAAAGGTGTGTGGAGAAGGGGAGTGATGAAGCCTTTTCGGGAGTGTTTGGGAATGCGTATGGGTGTCTAGAGTGTGATTCGGTGGGGAGGGAGGGAAGGGGGTGAAGTTGTTGTTGAGATGCCATCACTGCCGTAGTTGAAGCTGTAGCTGTAGCTGTAGCTGTAGCTGTTGAAAGAGTTGTTGAGTGGGATGGGATATGTGGGAGGGAGCGCGAATGGGGCGGTGGTGAGGGCGCTTTGATCTCAGCTATTGTATCGTCGTATTTTGGTGGTTGCGAGTGGGGCGGAAGAGTGGACTGTCCATGGTGGAGCGAATCCGGGTATTTCGAAGAAGCAATAGTGGCTGTTGTATCTCTTCTGTCTTGTGAAAGCATTCGTGTATTGTGTGGCTTGTACTCAGTTCTTGATTCTGTGGTAGAAGCACTTGATGTTGATGGAGATCGACTGGGGGGTTGTTGATATTCTGCCCGAAGCATGTCGCTTTGAATCGCTTGCTTATCAAACGTTGGAGTAGTAGGTGTAGGTGTTGGTGAATAGTCATGGAATTGCGTCTGCCCTTTTAACTGGGAACTGTCTACCTTCACAAGGCCGAGGGCTTCTTCCTCCGTGCCGTCTCTCATCATACTACGTTTTTGCTCGTTTTGATGATGATTCCGCGACGAAAGGTGGCCAAACGCAAAAAGACGATTTCCTGGAGAGGTAGAATGTTCTGCCATGTTACCACCATCATTATCATGCGGTGGCTCGTTAGACATCCGTCGACTAAAAAAGTTATGGAATGAGAACTGTCGACTTGGGGCATGATGCTGGACTTGTTCTGGAAGAGTATTGCTACGACTGGGCGACTGTGGGTTGGAAGAGCCACCGGATTTGACACTACTCGCCCATTGAATCGTCTGCACTGTTCCGCTTCGGTTCCGGCGATGGTTATGTTGAAACGCTTCACCAAGAGAGCCGGGTGCCTCGGCTTCAGTCATTCCAGAATGTAAATCACCTTTTTCATCCGTCTCACTTGCGATCGTGGTTAGCATCGGCCGGATCGGGCTATGCATCCCCTGAGATGAATGATTCGGTCTCCAGTGGGGATGCAGCCCACTGGATGTGCGACTGCGAGCAAAGAACGAACTTTTGCCACTCCCTTTGGTGCTAGGTCTGTGGTGGGGAAGCTCTTCATCAACAAAATCAGGGAATTTCGACATGCCCAGAGGTGGGTGACGGTTCGTTATCCGGCGTGAAGGGATACTTAGGGGGCTTTCTCCGACGACAGTCCTACGTCTCCGTAGCCCGTCCCATTCGATCACTTCTCCTTCCCGCGGTGGCTCCAATTCATCAATTTTTCTCTCCTCATAGTATCTCCTAGCTTCCTCCTCCTCCATCCTCTGTCTTGCACTCGATATCCGACGAATAATGGCAGCTGTGCCACGAATGGCGTCGGCCTTTGGTTCAGATTCCGGTTGCTCCTGCTCAGCAACTTCGCGTACCTGGTCTAAATCGCCTTTGAAAATAGCAGTATCCGGAACGTCCTTGGCGGATTTTGAGAGCTGTAATAAGACAACGCCAGAACAAATTTGAAGAAAACCCATGACAACTGTAGTAATGTTAATTGCAGTCCCCTTGAATCCTTGAAACAGAATTGCAGACGTAACGATCGTAGCACTCGTAAAAAAGACGTAGTATGTAGGTGTAACCAACGCCGCATTAAAAATATTCAACGCTTTCTGTGAGGAAAGGGACATCAGAAACGTGTATGTGATTAGATAGACCGGCGAGTGGATGGAATGCACGGATAAGATAGGAACTTACATTTAAATAAATGATCTCAGTCAACAGCGTCCCAATAACAAATACCAACAAAACATACAAAAACCACTCCTTAAATTGAGATATACCCTGGATCTGAGAGATGATAGCAGCTCCCAGTCCCTGAGTCGCGACAACGCTTAGGCCACCGATGAGACTGCAGATGCTGAGATAGACAAACATGCTCTTGTTGCCATACCGGGGGCCTGCCCAGAGTGCAACAAAGGTGCATCCCACAATAATGAGACCAGCCCAAGTGAGAAAACCGGGAGCGATGACAAAATGTTTCATGTCCTGGATGGTCGCGACGGACGACTGAGAGGGGGCATTCATGGCGATGATGACGGAGCCGATGATGCAATTGAAACAGCCTACTTTGCCCACGAAACTCAGGCGTTCCTTGAGGAAGATAGCAGAAAGGATGGTGGTGACGACAACGGAAAGGGCACCAAGGGGTGTCACTAAAATTGCGTCGACAAAGGCATACGCGACGAAGTTGCATATTTCCCCGATAATCATTCTGATTACGTTAGTTTGTTTTCCTTTTTTGACATCCACACACGCTCATCCATATATTGATATATATTGATATACCCCTACAATATCAGAGCTGGGGCTGTGAAACAAAGACGAAAACCAACTTACAATGTCATCCCGCCCCACCACCACCACACCTTCAAATACCCCATCCCCTCTCCAGGATCCTCATTATACTTAACATTTGCCTTGAGCAAGCCGACCTTTTTCAGCACAAAGGAGACGCCGATGAAAAGTCCCGAACCGACAGCCAGGGAGATCCCAACGGCCTTGAAAGCGGGAGGCCTGCCATCTGGGCCACCGAACGCGCCACCGCCTGCGCCACCGCCAGACCGCGCATAAATTAAATGAGCATCTGTGGTGTCAAGCATGATATGTAGATATTGGCGATGGAGAAAGGGTGAAATAGAACCTCAATTTTATTCGGTGGGAAAAAGACACCCGAGAGAGCCACTGAGGTTTTATTCTACCACTCCTGAGTTCGGGCTGGTGTATGTGGGATCGTGGTTCCTTCTCTCAACCGGAGGTCAAGCTTATGTTGGGTATTATTTGGCGAGAAGTTAAAAATCGAGGGGGATGCGGTCGAGGGAGGGATGAGAGGGAAAAGAGAGAGAGAGAGACAGAGAGAGAGAAATTTAAACTGTCTAGTTTAGGCCATTGCTCTCAGCGATATTTGTTCGAGAGTTTCGTCGCAGCAGCGGATTGTGCGGTGTCGTGGATGGAATGAATTTGGAGGTTGGTCAGAAAGGGGGAGATACCAAGGGACAATATTTCTACAAACGACATCAGCAGCTGAGAAGTGGCGAGGATCGGTCTACTATTAGGAAGGCAGGTTTTCTGCAACGATCAGCGGTTCAGTTCAATCCATGCAATGCGGCCCGTCAAGGGTTGGCAGCCAGTCAACAACTGTGTGATGCCAAGCTGGTGAGTCTATCCTCTTGGTGCGGTACATACCCGAGATATATAAATTGATACGGCTTCGACTGATACAGATGTTTAACTAACAAAACGACCCGAGGACGAGTCTAAAGCGGAGGAGGAAGAGGAAGAAAGCGTAGTGAGGAAAAGGAGAAGCACTGCACCCCCTGGGCAATCCTAGGAATCAGCAACGGACTGCAATATCGCCGAAAATAGTTCTGTTTCGCTTGGTGGGGAGTTTGGATGAAAATGTGTTTCTTGTTGCTTTTTGCCCAACCGCGCCTTGACGATGAGACTATCGATGTGTCCAGCAGATCAGATCGGAGTTCTTCCGCATGTTTTGAAACACAATAAATAACAATC